AAGTCACCTGAGGTTCTTACACAATCCACTTATTCTCTGTTCATTATTTTCCTCCTCCCTGTGTTTCATTTTCTCTGTGTCTTCAAACTCACTAAATGTTTCTTCTGAAGCATCAAGTCTACCCCATCCTTGGAAGTATTAATCGTATCTGTATTTCATCTCAAGCATCATTCAACTACTATAGTATTTACCGTGCATCTATTTAACACACTTAATGTTTATCTTCTTTAACATATAAAATGTAGTTATAATTACTACCTTTGGGTAGATGGCTAATGATTATATCATTTGTGGCAGTTTGGAGTCACTTTCTAGTGGATATTTTCTCTCCTTGTGTTTTCCCACTGCTTTGTGTGCTTGGTAATTTTTCATAAGAAAAAAGTATTGTGAATTTTATTATTTGTGTACTGGACACTGTATTTCTATTCCTACTGATATTCTTGAGACTTGTGCTAAAATTCAGGTAAAGGGCTTGGGACCAGTTGGATTCAGCTTTTGAGTGTTTGTAAAAAACTCAAGTTTTAACAGGAAAGACCAGCACAAGGTTTAGTCTGTAGCTAACCTTCCCCCTACCCCTAAGGCAGAAATCAATGCCCCGTAGCTTGTAAGCTCATTCCTGTCCAGCCTCAGCTCCAGAGGACTTTGCTGCAGATCTTTCCAGGTGCTTCTTTCCTTGGCCTTGGGTTTTTGATATTCTTCTCATGCAAACTCTAACCAGTCTCTCAGACTCCCACCCCCAACTCTTCAGACCCCACACCGAGGCCAGCAAGGTTGCGTTTGCAGCTTCCCGTTGTTCATTTTCCATCTCTCAGGGATTATTACCTTCTGTTGCTGGATGTCCACTGTCTTGAAAAAGGTTGTTTCGCATAGTTTACAATGTTTTTAAGTTATATTAGCAGACAGCCCCAGCTCTTATAAGTTCTTCTTGCCTGGAAGCAGGAATTATCAGAGATAAAGAAATGGAAAATGTTTAACCCCATGTCACATGTGTTTATAAAAGAAAAGACCATATTATTTATACTCCAATACAGCACTATTAAATGCTTTTATACCATGAAGCCTCTGGCTGTTTTGTGAAACCTATGCATACTTTCTCAGAATGTTTTGAAATGCGAAAAAGTAAAATACAAAGGACCATAGAGTAAGCAATTATAGTGGATCTAGTTATCAGGATATTTTTCTAGGCAAATGTGTGCATCTGTAATAGATGTACTTGTTCATAAATGCACTAAATGACAAGACCTGACAATGAGTCTAATATATTGCATAATTTTTCAAGTAATAAAGAGTATAAGTAATATTCCGAAATGCGTGTAACAATGGTACTGTGATTTGAATATTCATGACATTGTTAAGGTACTGTTCATTTCATTGTGTTTTGTTACCTACCTATTTTATGGAAAGAAATGCTAAACATCATCAGAGGTTAGTGAAAATAAACTTACTCTCAGCAATGTCCAAGGACTTTAATTTTGTCCATGCTCCCCTTGGAAGTGTGTGAGTCCAGGACTCTAATATCAATATATCAACTCTAATTCATGGAAACTAGCATCCTCAGGTGTTGTGAATTGTATACATTTGGCGAAGTTTGAGAACTGACAATGATTTGATTTGACTCCACCATGATAGAGGGGAGGTGCCCTGGGAACAGTTTCAGTGCAGGCCCGTGGGGGAATAGTGTTTCCAGGGCAACTGGGAACGTCCTTCCCGTGAGATGCAACTCCTGTCTGTGGTTCCCAGGCCACAGGAGTTTGCCCTTGATGCTGAGGAGTCCACCTGTCAAGTGGTTTCTTGCCTGACTCCAAGTGTGGATCTCAAGACATCACTGAAAACTGATCAATTGGATATGTCTGCCGTTTATTTTTGTCACTCCTCCTTGAGCCAGGCCACAGACTTGTGGATTTGTGAATACGCGGTTCTGTTCCTATCCAGCTTGTCCCAACCAGAAAGTCACTGTAATTTTTGGTTTTGTTCCCATTCTGCCTCTAAATGTCATTAGTCATATCCTCCATCCCATTGCTTCCTTGAATAGGCAGTCATTATGATGAACCCAGGCTTGGTTCAGAATTCCATGAGAACCACAGTGTCAGGCCTGACTCTGGGGCTGGAAATGGAAAAGGCTGCGATCCAGGGCTGGCTGGCACCATCCCCATGAGTCATTATGGAAACACTGTCCCCGGATGCTGCTAAGCAAGCCGGGTTACTGGTGAGACCATCTGTCAGATGAAATCTTGACCCCCTGACATCTTAAAATGTTCCATAAATTGTGGGCCGTTGGGCTTTCTGTCTGGTATCCTGGTTACATTAAAATTTGGGTTGTTTTGTTCTATTTTTGGTTGCCTTACAGTTCCCAGTGTGTTTTTAAAAAGATACATTTTTCAGATTACAAAAATAATGCATATTCATTGTACAAAATTGAAAAAGACAGAAAAACACACAGAAGAAAATTACACCACCCTGAGGTATAGATTTTTTTTAATGTGTTGCGTTTCCTTTCAGATCCTATTTGGATTAGTGTGTATATACTGCTCTGGAAAGCTATGTTGTTTTTTTAAAAGCGGTAACACTATAACTCACACAGTCTGCATTATAAAATCCATAAATTATACCATTTTTCCCTTGGAGGAGACCTTATATAAGATCAGCTAGTCTAACACACTCTAAAAATGAGGAAACAGAACCCCTAAGGGGGTACGTTGCCCAAGGCTTCCAGCTGTTGAACAGGTCAGGAATGGATGTCTGAATTTTCACCCAAGTGCCCAGCTGCCTTGTAACCTACCCATGTTCCATCGTGGGGTCATCTTCAGACAAGAGCTGCAAAGCCTCTGTCCTCTCTACCCTAGGAAAATGGAGATGGTTTCCCAGGAGTACTGAGCAGGCTATGTGCCCCTGCCTTAGATCTTATTAAACATTGTTGAAATGTTCATTCCCTGTTGGGAAGTTTCAAATGAAGAGGAGCAACAAAAGGTTTTTTCTCATGCAAAATTATTTTGATTATCATTTGACAATTAAAAAGAAAAGAAAAATAGACTCTATCAGCAACTTAATGACTTTACTAAGGCATAAACCTTTAAATTTAGCAATAGCTATTTAGTAGAGTTGATAAAATTCTATAGTATATACATTTTTCAATAAATGCAAATTCACTCCCAGAAATAAAGAGGCTCTATAGTATAAAATGATATGACATAGTCCATTATCATATATACTGTAATATCATGTGACTGTGGTACAGAGTTTACATACAGTACAATATAATATAATGTGGTCTATGACATATGTCAGAGCATAGTATACAGTATAGTATCATGTGTAGCATAGTGTGATGTACAGTGTAATATTGTATGTAATACAGCATGGTACACAGTAAAATGTGGAATGGATTATAGTATGCCATACAGTACAGCATCATGTCTAGTGTAATCTATAGGACAGTATGGTATATGGCTCATAGTATATATGGCATATAACATCATATGACATGCATATAGTATCATATACAGTGCAGTGTCATATAGATTGTTATGAATGGAATCATATATAGTATGGTACAGTACAGTGTGCTGTACGGTATATTATGGCACATGGACATAATATAGTAATGTACATGCTATATAGCATGGCACACACTATGTAGTGTATAGTATTGATAGCTTAGAGTACAGTAGAATAAAATAAATGTTGACTTCAGGGTTAAGTGGTCTTAGATTTAAATACTATTTCTGCACATTTTTGGCTGTGTAATCTTGTGAGCCGAATTTCTTCTAACCAGGAGTGTGAACATTCCAGTCACAGAAGAAATATAAGTTGTTAATAAATCTGGAAGAAATATGCAATCAACACCTTATTCAGGAGGGAAATACAAAGTTAAGCACAATATGACAGCCTGTTTTTGGTAGGAAGGCCAGTTTGTTAATATCCAGGGTTGGTGAAAGTGAGAAAAATGGTTATTCATTTTCACTGTTGGTATATCATTGACACAGCCTTTGAGTGCACAATTTGGCAGTGCCTTTTAAAACTTTGAATGTATGCTGCCTTAACTTAGCAATTGCTGTATTGCATAGACCTTAATAATTCATTCTGAAATTCACCTAGAATAGAAAACATGTGTGAAAAAAGCAAGAAAATTTTTGAAAAAGAAAAATAATGCAAGGAGAAGGCTCTTGGCTCAACAGAAATCTGTTTCCAGGGGAAATACTAAATATACACACAGATGAACAGATTAGATATTCATTAAAAACAACACATAAATTCAAGTTCTGAGGGCGTCACAGGGCAATGTGTGCTCTCACTCACCAACAGAGAAAATGTACATTGGTACCCCTGTTTTCCAGCATGTACAAAAGCTGAACATATGTGTACCCTAAGGATATGTGAAAGAGAGAAGCACAGACATCTTCCCCCAAAGAAATACACAACATTCTTAGCATTACCACTAATAATAGCCTCAACTGGACAATTCCCAAATGTCCATCAGTAGAATAGTGGATTAATTAATTTCCATGCATCCAATGGAAAACTAGAGTAATAAAATGAGAGATTTATTAACACATGCAATCAAACACTTTCACAAGTAGGTCGAGTGTATTTCCAAATATTCCATTGAAATAAATTTCACAAACAAGCAAAAAGGTATGTGATGTTAGCAGACAGGATGTAAGTTATCTCCCAGGGAAAGGCAGCTATCCCAGCAGGCTTCAGTCCTCCCATGATTCCTAGTCTCTTTCTTGCCTGTTTTTCACAGATCCATTTCACACTGGATGTTACATAGAACTTGAAATTTATTTTTTTCTGGCTCATCTACTCTGGAGCCTCATGCATTGAGAAGTAGGAGCTTAATCTTTTCTGATTTGAGGTTTCCCTGTCTAATTTCACTTAGTGAGCTCAAGTAGCAAACTCAGGCAGCTGAGTCCCCAGATGGAGGTTTGTCCCGGTACCTGCCTAAGTCAGTTAGTGAGTAAAGAGTTTGGAACCATGCACACACTAAGCACACGTATAAGTGTTTGTTTCATAATTTTTATGATGCTTTACAATCCAAACTGGACATTCATTATATTCTCATCTTCAAGGCAAAATAATCACATGCAGAGCTTTAAGAAATTCCAGTACTCACATAAATTCCATAGTTTACTTCCTCTATATCTTATCATTTTAAAAATGTTTGAGTATAAAACTTCAAAGGTATGAAAAGCACAGAAAATAAAACTATGCATATGCCTTTAGCTTCTACCACTTCTGCTATATTTTCATCAGATCTTCTCATGTGCTTAAAAAGTACATACAAACAGCTGCTTCCCTCCTCTGGTTCCTGTCCCCCTTCCCCCCCATTTTGCTCAGGGTAGCTTTACTCCCCCAAAGTTAGCATGTGGCTTCTCCACCTTTTCTCTAAATGTGTATATTAAACAACACAGAGTCCCAATTTAATTTTGAAGCAATTAATTTAAAGTTGAAATAATATACAATCCTGCTGAACACTTCTTCAAAACAATGTCTTTAATAAACTAAGAATTAAAACCTCTTGAAACAAGGAAATGTCCATTCCAGAGAGATTTCCTGGGATCAAAAGGCATTATCCAGATGCATGATAGTTTCTGTCTTGCACAGAAACCTACTTTCTGTATAAAGAAATTAGTGGGACTATAGTGGATCTATAAGCTGATTTCAAAATTTTAAGCACTGGCATCATCTACTACAACAGCCCATGACACATGATTTACAAAGTGCCCGACAGCTGAATGATGAAAGTATCAGCTTCTAGGCCATGGCAATTATGGATGACACCTGCTAGTGGATGCTGGCCTGGGTCCCTCAAGTTAGGGACAACTGTGACCTGCAGGTGAGGCCCCTGTGGTTACTTAAGCCACATGGCTGACCCTGGGGTCTTTTTGTGAGATACCCAGGAATTTGTAGCAGCTATGCTGATATGGGTCCCAGCACCTGTTGGACCAACAACTGGGCTATTGCCTGTCACCTGACATTAGATATCATGAGTTGCGCTGGCCCGAAGTTTGACACGGATTCCTGCTTCCCCAGAGTTACTACCAATTCATCTTCTACTTGGAGGCCCAGCAGAGAATCCAGGGCCAGTGAATGTTCTGGAAGTAGCAGGAGACCCATTCATTGCATAGAGGAGCATTTCTCAGGCACTCCATGTGCAAATCCTGCAGTGGTCGCTGTGCAGACCATGAACAGATTCCCATGATTCCCATTTCCCAAGAGGAGAGAAACAGTGAGAACAGGTCCCTTCAGCAAAGTAGACTGGGAATGTGCTGAAGCAGTCTCTTGATGCAGTTTTGGAAATAACCCTTAATGATCTTGTTCTGTTGTCCTCAATCTTCCTTCAGCCAAGATGACAAATACGGATTTGCTCCAACATCTCTGGAATACCCTTGGGGACCGATATCAATGCTTTGCGTGTGGTCCCTTCCCTTAGTGTTATATTCAGACAGCTTAGCGGGTTCTTCTGTTCTGGAACCTGGCCCCAAGGTGCTCACTCAGGTAACTCTGGGTTGTTTTAGGAGCTGAACTCTCCAAAATGGTTCTTGTATATCCTGAGATCCTATTTGGGTGTGTCTCCAGCTATTACCTAGAAATCTCTAGATTATTATGTGAGCAAGAAACTAATTTCTCTTATATAAAGCAACTATAATTTGGGTACATCTGTTACCCAAACGATGCCTGTGGGTGAAGAAAATGTGAGAACTAATGGATCAGAGAGCCAAAAGTGTGCCTCAGCTGAGACTGGAGATCCAAGTACGTTGTTCGGAGAAAACAGGGCAGTGGTGCTTACCCTTGGATGCACATTAAAGTCACCCTGAAGGCCAGTTAAATCAGAAGATTGGGGGGAAGGGTAAAACCTAGACATTTTAAAAAGCTCTTCAGTTGATTTTGATGTGCAGGGAAGCTGAGAACCATAACACTAAAGTGAAGACTTAGGAATCTGTTTCATGGATCTATGTCCAGTGGGGTTTGACACAAGTCTTGCAACTACTAGGGAACCTGGTGGAGACCTAGCCCTGGGTGAGGGAACATTGATCCTAGCCTGGGAAGACACAAACTGAGTGGGTTACTGTACTTAAGAACCAGAGTGAGCTGTCGATCTCCATGGATGCCCACTGGTTCTGGAGAATGGCCACAAGTCAGCATCTCCCTGTATCCTCCTTAATATAGGTTAGTTCTCAGAGAAAAAAGGGAGAGAGGCCTGAGTTGGAGACTCATCTTGAAATACCCACTTTGCCTCCAGTTGGCTAAAGTTTACATTGTCTGCTATCAGCAGGAATTAGAAAATGTTATATTGAGATGGCAGATTTTTGTACCTGCTCAAGTTTGTAATCATAGTGAGTGTTTTGTCTTAATAGTCTGTTGTCAGCTCTAGGGTTTGTAGGAATGGAAATTTTGGGCTCTAGTTTATCCATGCGCCAGTTCATGCCCATAATTCTTTCTAGGGAGTCACCCAAGTTCTTAGCCCTGGTTAGTTAGTTTGCAGATAGACTTCAAGAGAAAGTCTTCACCTGGGCTGGCAGGTAATTTAAAAGTATCTACCTGTATCCATGTCTGAATTATCTTTACTTCTTTCATAGAATAAACTACAATGGTTTTTGCATATTATAAACATTTAAAACATTATCATTAGATGTGGGTACCATTAGTACCCATTATAACAATAATAATAAGGCATATTCTACTTATACTTGATCAAGAGTATTGTTCATATTGGAAGACTCATATATGTACTACAGTAATACCTCAGTTCACAAACGTAATTGGTGTTCCATGATTCTGAAAAAGACAGCTATGTTCATGTTAGTGCAGGAAAGATGGCTGGGGTCCGCATTCATTATCTGATGCAGAGATCACAAGCAATAACAAACTTTTGCCAAATGCTTTTATTTGTGAATTAAATTCTTGAACGGAGGTATGCTGCATATTTAACATAAGTGAACTTGGTTATTGCTGTGATTTGGGTAATTGCCCACCAAAGGCTCATTTATTAAAGTCTTGGTTTTCAGACTGTGGTACTATTGGGAGGTGGTGAAATCTTTATGGGTGGGGCCTAATAAGAGGGAGTTAGGTTACTAGGGGGTGCTCTTGAAGGGAATATGGGATCTCAACCTCTTTCTTCATTCTCTTGGCTTCCCAGTTGCCATGAGGTAAGCAAGTATCTCTACCATACACTTCCACCATAATATTCTGCCTCACCATAGGTCCAAAGCAATGGGCAAACAGACCATGGACTGAACCTCTAAAACTGTGAGCCAAAAATAAATTTTATTAAGTTTTATTTATTATTATTTATTTATACATTTTATTTATTAAAATAATTTATTAAATTGATTTACCTCAATTATCTGTTAGAGTAACAGGAAGCTGACTAAACAGCTATGATTTTAGAGAACCACTTCTAATTGTGTCATTAATTCCATGGTGTTTTATGTAGTCTCCTTTTCAACCTAATATTTCCTAAATATCCTTTTGCAGTACAGAAACATTCCAATAAACCCAACATAAGATGAAAATGTTGGTAAGTTCAAAATGCATTTAGCACACTTAGCCTACAAACATCCTGGTTGAGCAGCACATTACACTGTAGGATTTTGGTTATTTCCCTTTGTGATCCTGTGGCTGACCAGGATCTGTGACCTGCACCGCCACCAACCCTGCTGCTGCTCAGTATTAAGAAACAGAATCAGACCTCATCGAACTAGTCCAGGAAACCAAACTGAAATCCAGGTACAATTTTTATTGAATGTGTGTCACTTTCTTGCCATCATAAACTGAAAAATTTAAAGTCCAAACCATCATAAATTGGGGCTATCTGTACAGATTGTGTGCATTTTTGAATATAAAAAGAAATGTGGAAAAAAAACAGTTTAAATAGTTGATGGTCTTACTATCCTGATTGCATCTGTTGAAAATGTGTGCATGTGTGCACGTGGTGTGTGTGAACACAGGATTAGAACATTTAAACAATGAATGAGAGCACAAAATCCCAAGGGAAGGCTGCTTGGAACATGCACACCTTGTTTTCAGGATTTTTCCCAAAGCAGTTATATTGGCAGTTTCTTACTATTCTTCCAAAGTAAAATTTCCATTCACCAAGATGGAATTTCAAGTTCCGTGTCGATATGGAATGAAGATGTGTGTCAGAGAACTTCAGTATCGATCTGTATCAGCAGGTATGGGTCTATTTCATTTTTTTATTTAAAGAAAAAAAAGTAAAACAGAAAAAAGGTAGAAATAATACAGAATTTCAAAAGAAATTAACGCTAAGAAATCACTAGTTGATAAATTACATATTGTATCTTAGAAATAGTTGTTCAAGTCCCAAAATTAAAGCATAGAAAGTGGACAATCAAATGATGAGAGTGCAAATCATTCTGTTGAATGAGCTAACAAAACATTTTTAACAGTAACAGAATATTCTAGAAAATGACTATGACATATATGGTTTATATGTTTTCTCCTGGGCTCTTTTCTTATTTTCATATTCTTTTCGTTATCAACAATGCTGCATGGACATCCTTGTAGATCTACCTCGGCAAAAACTTTTGGGTAAATTTGTGTGTGCGAAACTTGAATTGATATACAAAATATTTCTAGAGATAATTTCTAGGTATATAAAATATTTCTATGAATTCTATAATGCACATACTCTGACCTTCTGAGAAGTACACCTCTAGGGTCATCTGCAATTTGTAGATATGTAGGTTGATAGAATAAGAATCAATGTGTGTCTGTGGGAAAGCAAAAAGCATTTTATCTTTTCAGCACTCTAGAGTCAACATGAACAGAGCCAAGCAGTCAAAGAAAACCATACCTTTGCTGACGAATACATCACTGACATTTCTGTACCCGGGTGACAGACATGGTCCAAGAGCTTGTGAATTCCAAGCAGTTCATCTCAATCTCCAGCCCAAACACTATGTCTGCCAATCACTCTAACCAACAAGGAGACCTGGAGCAAAAAGAGTAGGGAAAAGATCTCTGTGCCCTCTGATATCCTACACAAGAAAGACCGAGAATACACATTTAGAACTGCTAGCACGGACTCTTTAGATATAATAGAAAATACACATATATGTAATTTCCAGCAGGACAAAAATACTGCACCCAGGGTTCCAGACTCCCTTGTCAGTGACAGTGTCTATCATAACATATGAAAACCTGCAGAGATTTGTCTAGGAGAAGGATTCTCAACCTTAGCACCATTGACAATTTTTTCTGGATAATTCTTTTCCATCACTATTGGAAGGGTTGTTTTATACACTCTAGGGTGTTTAACAGCATTCCTGACCTCTACTCACTAGATGGTATTCTGATGAAAAACTGTTAAAAAAAAAATACCCTCTTGTACTTCCAAAGACCAGAACAAAGAATTCTGGTAAAGAATGTTGATGAAATCTTTTTAGCATTTAAAAAACTTTCTGCAGGCTAAATTCAACTTAGCCAAGTTGCTGGAAAGCACAAATGATTCTCGAGCACAGACCCAGCCCCATGAAACCGTGTGCCAAGTTCACACAGCATGCCATGGCACGACTTCTGGGAAGACTGTGATGCTCATAGATCTGTATATGATAAATACTTTGTTATCATTTTCCACGGTGTTTGCCCCTCTTGGTGCTGTCTGCTTTCATCTATGTGCCGAGTTACAGATATACGTGATCAAAAAAAGTCAAGACAAGAACTAAAGCTCAAAAAATTCTTGCCTGCAGCATGTACCCAAAGGAAAAAAAAAGTCAATCATGCCAAGATGATGAGGCCAAGTGAAGCCAGGAGTTGTGCAATTACCCAGCAGAGGTTGAAATTTTTGATAAAAACAGACCTCATTGAAAATCTAAGCATACAATGAAGCAAAAAAATTTTAAGGCCATTTGGATACTTTGCTAACATGAGCACTGAAAAACGTGGATGCGGATGTCTCATATTTATTTCCTCTGTAAAGCACAGGATGAAGTAGATTTTCCATTCCCAGATTTTCTGGGTTGGTCATTTGGCTCTGATTGAAACCAAGCTTTTAAATCAGACCAGAGTGTTCCATGCTTTGCCATTGCCTGACTGAAGACAATGATCTGTTCTTTCACTCAGGGGACGTTTGTTGGAAGCCTACTATGTGTCAAGTCCTCAGCTAGACTCTTGGGCATTAGCAATTAAGACACCATGGCTGCTGGCCAGCCCTCAGATTAGAGAAAGTGTTCAGAGAAGAGGGGCTGGGGTCACTGTGTGGGGTGGTTCCTGGGCACGAAGCTTCTGGGGTTTAGCATAGTCTGGTGAAGGCTCAAATAAACTGTCGTGTACAAAGAGCTCTGCTAAGTCCTTGAAAAGTAACTGAAGTCTGTGATCTGGTCACTTCCCATCCACTTTGCTGGTGGGGAAGGAATCCCCTGCTCTAATTAACTTGAGACGACCGGACACACGACACCTTCCACTGGACAGATGCAACTGGTAGCAGTTTATTAGTCAGGATACTTAGCCTGGGGGAAGAGGATACCGCCGGCTCTGAGTGACAGAAGTAGAGTGAAGCTGCAGAGTCCGTGCGAGGCAGGCTTTGTAGGAAGGAGGTGAGGTGCCCCTTCATTCCTGCAGGATCACTTGTTTGAATCCTGCAGGCTGGCAGCAATGAGAAACCCATTAGGTTTAGAACTGGATGAAGTGCATCTGGTTTGGACAGTAGGGGAACTGGGGACAGGATCAAGGGTGTTTTGCCTCTGGCGGGGGGTATGTCTGATGAGAGCAGTGGATCTCATGGGTAGGCCTTTGGGACTTCACAAGGTCAGAGCTGTGAAGGCAGCACATAGAATTTCAGGCTTATAACAAAGTCTGTAGGCTTCTTATTGACAACTCTCCCCCTGTGTCTCTTCACACATGGGAGAAGGTTTAGCATTGATGGCGCTGGCTGAATTTCTATGACTTGCAGCCTAAATGCAAGCACACAAACAATGCTTGCTGACTGATTGTTGAGACATTATTTCTTTTTGTTTAGCACACAATTCTCCTTTTAATGGCATTCCAATTTGCAAAGAACTGTTTCCCCACCGTCACTCCATATGTCCTTGGGGTTTTAGTGAGTTTGAGTCCCTTCTCTGGAGTCTGACTATGAGCTAGTACTCAGACTTGACCAATCAGAGCACCCTATTACCCTGGCCACAGTGACTGGTTTGGAGAGAGACATTCTACCCAGGATGGTCTCAACTGGCACTGTGGTAATAAAAAATTAAAAGAAAGTTCTCTTTTCAGTGGAGATTGCTAAACTAGAAACTGTTAACACCACAGTTTCTGCAGGATCAGATGTAAGGAGGGCCCCATCTGGAAGTGAAAGCAACGCAACAGTACAGGACAGAGTGAACGAAAAGAAAGATACAGAGGAGATGTCATTTCACTTTCCAAGGCGGCACTCCTGGGACTGAACATACAGTGGTGCCCGTTTAGTTGCAGAGGTTACATTTCAAGATGTACAGTAGATGCCTGAAAGCTTGGACTGTACCAAACCCTATCTACACTATGTTCTTCCCTTTACATACATAAGAATGATAAAGTTTAATTTATAAATTAGACATAGTAAGAAATTAACAATAAAGGTAGAGTAACTACACCAATATAATAAAAGTGATGTGAATGTGATTTCCCAAAGCATCTTATGATGCCCTGTTCACCCTCCTACTTATTGATTGCTGGTAACCAAAGCCACAGAAAGTGAAACCAGGGATAAAGGAAACTACTATACCTTCGAATATTCAGATAGGTGGAACAATAAATTCCCCCCTCTTAATTTTTTGCTTCAGTCGGTTTGACACAGGGTTCTGTCACTTGGAGCTGAACAGACTAATCATCAGTTGCCTTACTTGTACCTTGTGTACGGAAGGGAACAGTTCGTACTAATCAGCTGGTGATTTAATCTTTGGCTTCTTCCTGATTATCCTACTAGGTAATGACAATGCAACAGTAACCTTCCAATCACTACAAAACTGTCCCATGCCCCCAGCTTTGTGTCAGCCAAGCTTGTGCTCGTTCTGTTCTCTGAGTAAAATAACCTTGGTAACACCCCGAGAGCTTCATTCTTTTTCCCTCTGCGTCAGACATTGTCCCTTGGGTCTTCATTTTGACAGCACCTTTGACAACTCAGCTGAAATGCCACTGCCTTCCTTGCCCCAAAGTCAAGTTTTCTGCTCAATGATTCTTTACAGTGATCTTCTGTTACCCTCACCCTAAGCCCTATCACTATCTGACATTTTCCTGTTTATGTATTTTAATTGTCTTCTTACCTCCATGACTAGAAGCTCCATGAGAACATGGGTCTTCCTGTGTATTCTCAAGGCTCAGAAGATTCTCCAACACAGAGCTGAACCTCAGTAGAAGTTTGCAAGATGTAACAGTGAACAGGCGTATACACAGCTGTTATTTAGGTACAGCTGTGCTGATAGGTACACGAGCTGATGTACGTGCCTCACATGGATTTACTCAATTGTCAAATAACCTCGAATAACAATTCCTGTATATATGTAGGGAAATCGAGTTTTGGAGAGGTTTAACAATTTACCTAATGTTACACACCCGGGAGATGGTAGAGGTGTGATTTAAACAAAGGACTCACTACTCCAAAACTGGTGGTCCTTTTCAGTGACTCCCAGATTTACCTCAAATCACAATATCCTCAAATTCTAGCAAATAAAAATCCTTGCTAGATTGTGAGTTTCAGCTTAGGAATGATCTGTAGAATGTGAACCTCATAGAGACAACTGGCCGTCTTCTCTGTGACTTCAAGACACACAGGATATCATATCTCAAGATGTGATTTGAGGCCAATCTGGGAGTCACTTTAGAAGACCAACAGTTTTGGAGTAATGATTCCTTTGTTTAAACCACACCTCTACCATCTTCCGGGTGTGTAACATTAGGTAAATTGTTAAAACTTCAGCATCTTCAGGAGCACACAGGACCAGAGTGGCTGTAAGTGAACATCCTAATATACATAGCAGAAACTAGTCATGTCTGGAATGCACTGGGAATGAAATTACTGAGCGGAAACTAAAGAGTGTTTGGTAGGACAGCTCCAGCCTCAGGAAAAGCAGTTATGACAAATACACTTAGGCAAAGAGAACAGCAGAGAGAGATCATAATGGTTTCATAGGCAGGGGGCTGGTGTGGGTGGGTTTTGGGGGGATGTGTGAAATATAGCCCCTCTTTGGAGGGATACCACCCATGGGAAGAAATAAACTCAAAGTTGGGAATTGTTGTAATTGACAAGTGAATATATTGTTAGCTATGGGAGAGAATCACAAAGTCAGAATAAACTCTGTACAGAAAAAAATGCGTTGTAGCAAAATGACAACATATAATAGAAATTGAAAGACTTGCTTGAAGTTTGATTGTGTAAAACACCCAGCTGTCAAAGATTCAACTTCTTGTATTTTTAAGGTGTATTTAATCTTTATGTAGAGTTTTTCGTGTAAGAATATAAACTGAGCCAAAGAAGTCTCTTTTATCCTTTTTTTTTTTTTTGAGAACCTGAATCCATCCTTTTCATCACCAGGCTTTCAAGAATAAAAGCTCAAGTGATATTGAAAACACCACTTTTGATGCCTGAAAAGGATTAGCTGGTAGTGTTAGAAGTTGTACATGTGTATGTGTCAGTTTTTAATATTTAGCCACATGGTAGACATGAAACCCTACTGCTTTGTATATTAGCTGGAAATATTCTTTCCTTCAATTTAGAATATTGGTCATCTCAAAATAGCCATAATTATATACATGTGGCACATGCCTATAATCCCACCACTTGAAAGGCTAAGGCAAGAGGATTGCAGGAAGTTCAAAGGCCAGTCTGAGTTCTGTAGGGAGTTCATGGCCAGCCTGAATTACAAAGATAAAATCAAAATACAGAGGTGGGTCATGGAAGTGGAGGCTGAGGCAGGAGGATTGCAGTGAGTTCTAGGTTAGCTTGGGCTACGTAGTGAATTCAAGGACAACTTGAATCACATAGCCAAAACTTGTCTCCAAAAAAAAAAAAAAACAAAACAAAAACAAAAACAAACAAACAAAAAATCACCACCTCAACAATGCCTTTAATACTGCTCAAGTTGTATTAACCTGCTATTGTAAGGTGTTGTACTTGTGCTTTATGTAACTAACATTTTCCAGTTATAACTTCCTCCAAGGAGGAACACCATGTGCTGGCTAATCTTAATTGGCAATTTGACTGGATGAACAAACTCTTAGAAAAGATACAAAGGCATTAATCTCATCAATGGATTAACCCACTGATGAGTTCATAGCTGAATGGGTTACCCAGAGGTGGAGACTCTTTAGGGGCAGTGGGTCATGGATGCAGTGAGCTGAGTAACATTCCTCCACCGCACTCTGCTGGCAAGATGTTTCTGTATTCCAGTCAGCTGACCATGGACTGAAGTCTTTGAAACTGTGAGCCAAAATAGATCTCTTCCTTTAAATTCTGTACATCAGATTTTTGTCCCAGCAACAAGAAACTGATTAATATACTTCATGTAATAATTTTAACTGGAGATTTCAGTAAATTATAAAATACTAAAATTGGACCTGAGGATCAGTGGAACAGATTTAAAAATACAGAAACAACTTCAAACACACTCACCTACCTTATCTTTGACAAAGGGGCCAAACACATTCGCTGGAAGAAAGATAGCCTCTTTAATAAATGGTGCTGGAAAAACTGGCTCTGAACATGCCAAAGACTAAAACTAGACACATGTCTATCACCGTGTATCAAACTAAAGTCAAAATGTACCAAAGATCTAAATATTACAACAGAAATGTTAAAAATTCTGGGAGAGGACTATGTAGAACTCTTGAAATCACAGCTGTAGGCAAAGACTTCATGAACAAAACCCCAGAGGCACAGGAAACACTACAAAGAATCAACTGGGATCTTGTCTTATTAAAAAGCTTTTGCACAGCAAAAGAAATCACCAACAGAGTGAAAAGACAACCCACAGAGTGGAAAAAATCTTAGCCAGTTGTTCCTCAAACAAAGGACTAATATCTACAACTTATAAAGAATTGAAAAAAATCAGAACCTTCAAATTTAAAGACCCAGTCCATAAATGGGCTTCTGAAATGAACAGACACTTCTCAGATGAAGAAGTAGAAACTGTAAATATAAATACATGAAAAATGCTTAACATCACTGGTCATCCAAAAGATGCACATTAACACGATGCTGAGATTCCATTTTACTCCATCAAGAAATCAGCCAGTGACAATGCTGCGGAGGCTGTGGGGGAAAAGGAACTCTTTTTCACTGTTGTTGGTGAGAGTGTAGGCTGGCAGAACCACTGTCATGGTTACTTTTCTCTCACTGTTGAGACAAAATACCTGATGCCCAAAATGAAGGAAGGAAAGGTTTATTTATCGTACAGTTTTTGGAGGTTTTAATCCAGTCAGCTGGCTCCAAGGCAAGCTGGCCTGGCTGGCTAAAGGGGTAGCCGTTCATGGCAGTTGCGACTAGAGTGCAAGGGAAAAAAGAAAAAGCATGCCTCCTTCCTTCCCTTATAATGTATGCTGGGTACCCATCCCTGGGCGGGTGCAGCACCCACACCGTCAATCCCAGCACTAGATGAAGAACCAATCACTAACACTAGACTCAGTTGCCTCCATGACTGCATAAGGCTTTGAGGGGACATTTAAACAAACCACAACAACTGTGGAAATCATTGTGGAGATTTCTCAAAAAACTAGGATTTGAGTTTCCATTCAACCCAGCTATTCTCCTTCTAGGTATCTTCTCAGAAGAACTAAAAACATCACAGCACAGCAAGTGATGTGCACCCATTTTCTAGTAGCACAATTTGTAATAGCTAAATCTTGACAACAACCCAAATGCCCATGAACCAAGGAATGGATAAAGAAGATGTCTATTTTTTATCCAATGGAGTACTACTCAGTCATAAACAAGGATAAACTTGAGACATCTATAGTTAAATGGATGTACCTTGAGACCGTATCTGTAAGTGAAATAAATTGGACACACATGTGTGGTAACTGTTATTGTGAGAAACTGACAGTATAAGTAAGAACCAATACATATAATAGACATTGTGAAACAGGAAGAAATTGTTTAGAAGGAAAGGGAACTTGGGGTAAGGAGAGAAAAAATGAGAAGGATAGAATGGAAGCAAAGCATTGTAAATAAGGAGGGGCAGAGGAGTTGGGGGGGGTGGGAGACAAAAAAGAGGAACCAAGACATATCGTGCGCAAGAAGTTCCTTATGATGAATGTGATCATTATGTGTATACATATAAATTGTATCAAACTTAACAAATAAATCTTATCAATTTAAAAATTATTTTTATCCTGAAATAATTTCAAACTTAACTACTAATTTCACATATGGTACACAGAATTCATGGAGTTTTTCCCTGAATATTTTCATCTTATATAAGGATAACACAGTTATCATAACCAGAGAATTATATTGATGTAATACTACCATATTACACAATTCTGATCTATAAGCTCAAATTTCATGAGTTTTCTCTCTCATGTCTCCTCTGTATATCAGCATCTAACCCAGGTTCCCATTTTGCATTTAGTTATCAGATCTCTTCAGTCTTCTGCAATTTATTGTGATAGTTCTATCTTGTATTATGGCTGGTATGTAGATGTCCCTCCAACGCCTTATTCAATCACAGGTGGGTCTTTAGGTGAGCCGTAGCTGTGTGATGCTGGGATTGTGCAATGCTAGGCTCAAGGGCTCTAGGATTAAGGGAGTGAGTGCTACCCACCCTAAGTACCCTGGATGAAACATAAGGAATAGAAAGAGCAGTGTCTGTGCCTCATTGCTTTGCTACCTTCTCCCCACCAAGAACTGCTTCTCTTCTTGGATGCCTGTTTGCCATGTCACCCTGCCTTGGAGCCAGGTGATTATGGACTGAAGCTCTTACAAACGGTGACCTATAAAAACCTTTCCTCCTCTAAGTTTGGATGTCAGGTATTTTGTCTCAGCAAAAGGAAAAGTAGCTAAGACATCTTGCTATAAAGCTGGGCATGGTGGCTCACTCCTGTAATCCAAGCCCTTGGGAGGCTGAGGCAGGAGATCATTGTGAGTTTGCGACTTGCCTGGGCTACAGAGTGAGCCCAAGGCCAGCTTGAACTGCATAAGGAGACCCTGTCTCAAAGACACACAAAGACACACACACAAAGACATTTTGCTATCTCTCATCCACTCTCAACTACTGGATCCTAAGTGAATCTTCTAAAAACTCAAAAATATCAAGCTATTTACCTGCTTAGTATCTGGTGGGGCTCCTCATTGTTTTAAAAACAAAATGTAAATGCACATGCATGCAAACAGTAAAAGCGGAGGCGCTGCACCATTTCACTCCCAGCTCTCTTCCAGCCTCATCTCCCACCACTTGGTGCACACGCGCCATCCAGACCCAGGGCATGGTGCTGGCTGCGCGTTTCCTCTTGAACCGCACCCAAGAGGCCTCTGTGTGCAGCACTCCCTCTGCCTAAAGGCCACTCCTAGATATTTAACAAATGTTTACTTGATGGTACTCTATGCAAGGCGCTGTGCTAAACACTGTGAATATATTAGGAAGTAAATCATAGTTCTTGGATTTAAGGAACTAACTCTAAAAGGAAGGAAACAGATGTATATGAAGAAATGCTTATTGTATACAGTGCTTTAACTAAAGCACTATCTTAGAGAAGGGTTCTTAGAGAAAGTGACATACATGGTTGGTTGAAAGGGGTTTGTCTTGAAGAGAGGAAGAAATGGGTTGATGTATACAATGTAGCTTCTTGGGTTTCTGAATGGGATCAGTGAGGTGACAGGAAGAAGAGGTGGTGGACAAACTGGCCAGGTAGTAAGAAACCCCTGCTGCCTAGGGAGCTCTAAGCCTTCCCTGATTCTCTTCTCTTTAGATACTCAGGGGCTCCTTAAGTGCTCTCTGGCAGCTGGGTATCCTGTCACGGTGATTGTTGAGCTGGTGTTTTAAGCTGTGTCTCTCCCGCATACCCTGTCAGACCTTTTAAAGGAAGCAGGGCTGCTGTCTTGCCACTGTACCCCAGGACCTCGGGCAATGCTGAGCCCTCACCACCCAGACACACTGACACCTCAGTGCCCTGAAGACGCCAGATGGAGTGGGAGACTGCAACCACTGCTCCTTAGAAGCTCCCTCCAAGCCAGTGTCACACATAAGAGTGCTAGTAGTTGCTAGAAACACTGGACTTCAGGTACACATTTTTGAGATCGGCACAACTAACTCCTAAAGTTAGTTGTTATAACTATTCTGTGCTCTGCTATTGCACTTTACAACAGCTGGGCTCCGGAACTGTTAAATTTATCTTTCCTTTTCCTCCCTGCTTTCCAATCTCCCCTCTTACCATGCCCTGAAATTCTTAGACAATGGTTTTGTTATGCAGGAGGTGGTGAGAATTCTAAGGCAACACACACACTCTTCATTTCTGCCTTGGTTGGTCTCATAGCCAAGTTTTCCGCCAGGCTTCTGGGGTGAACCACAGCACTGGGACAGACGGTGGGTGGACAATCTGGGCTTACTGTCTTGTGCCCCAGGAGTCTCAGCTTCTGCAGAGGCAGGAACTAGAACACAGTAATGAGGGTCTTTGGGAATAGTCTGTTCATCACCCTTGCAGGGTGAAGGGAAGGAAGAAACGAGGAAACACGGCCTCACTATTGCTCATACCAATTCCTTTTTTTTTTTGTTTTTTGTGTACTGGGGATGGAACTCACTCACCTCCTGCTTGCTTGCCAGGCAGGCGCTTATGCCATTGATCTAAATCCCCAGCCCTTTATTTTGCGGCCAATTCCTTGATTTTGAAGAAAAGCATCAAACTCTTCCTCCTTTCCCGGAGTAGAAGTGCTACATACAGCTGTCTTTGCAGTCTCTGGCAGGTTAAAATGCATGCATTTCTATTGATTTACACCAAATTTTAAAATTCTCTCTGCAGTCCCTGTTGGTAGCTCCCCTGAAGACCGGGTGTTCTGAGCAGACTTTCGAGATATTTGCAGGGCCTGGTATCACGTGCCTCCTTTTCAGGCTCTTCCCAGCAGTCTCTGTCCTTGATGGAGAAGCCAGCTAACCTCCAGCTTCCTTTGTTAACTTTCTAGTTCTTCTGCCCACTGCCTGTCCATCTGCTGTTTTAAAGCAATGTGCACAGGATCGAATCTCTGACTTTCAAATGAAAATGATCATCGTCTCTGTGTCCACTGCATGGGCACTTTTGAGTGCAGAGGGATGCGTTGTAGCCCAGAGAAACTTGTAAGAGGTGAGTGGCTTTCAGGACAAGAGGGCCAACAAAGTTCACCTCCTAGACACTCTGGACAAAATCAGCAACTCCACAAGAAGCAGCAGCTGTCCCAAACATATGTTTGCCCTTCTCTCAGAAAAATGGATATGCAGAGTGAGAAGGGTTCCAGTTCCCAGTGCCTTGAAGGTCAGTGACCCTGCCAGGTTACCTTGGCTGGCTCTTAGCATCTCTTTGCTCAGCTGTAAACGGCAACAGAAGCCGAAGTCTACATCATTGGTGAAGTCCTATCGATTAGATGAGATGCTGTGGGTAAAATGTCCATCATACAGTTTTAGGGCTAAAAGCATACTGGATATCATTAATAGCAGGTTGTTTCTCTCCTGTAACATGGGGAGCTTGGCTGGCCAGCTTGCAAGTGTCCCTATCCTTCCAGGACCCTTCAAGCCCTACTAGGTAAGGATGGGGACCCAGAGACCGGGCTCCTGGGGCCGGGGCGCCAATTGTTTGCCCAGGTAGGGTGAGCAGGCATCTGGCCCAGCAGGAGCACGGGGCGGTTCTGAGCAGCAGGAGGGTGTGGTGAGCCTAGGTCCAGGGCGGCCAAGCGCGCCTGCAGAGCGGGCTGCCAGGCTCTGCCCCGTGGGCGCGGCAGGGGGGAGTCTGAGTCACCCCAAAGGACACCGCGGGCCACCGGCCTCCGGGAGGCTGCAGGAAGGGCGCTGCGGCCCCGGCCTCGAAGCCCCGGCCCCCCACTCCCCGGCCCCCAAGGCCCGGGCGGGCCGGAGCGCGGGCCACGGCGGCGATGTGCCACGCGCCGCGTCCCTGGAGCCGCTGGGGCTCCGACTCCCGCGGCCCGGCCCGTGAGCGGGGGCGGCGGGGCGCGTCGCCACCGGGCCGCCCCGCCCCGCCCTGGGAGGCGCCCGGGCCCTCATCAAGTGACCAGTAACCCTTCCAGGAGAACACGGTCCTTCCGAGGGAGGCGAGCTGCCGCCCGAAGCCCGGGCGCCAAACCGCCGTCATCGCCTTCCTGTGCCGGGTGATCCGTCTCCTCACCCACCCGGAAAACATAGTCCGCCGCGCGCCCTCGCGGGCCGCACGCGCGCCCCAACGGCGTGACTCTTTGGTGCCCGCACCCGTGTCTTTCTCTTTCCAAGTACTCTAAGACCACGAAGGGGAGGAATTGTCTCTCCCAGGAAGCCCCCAAGAGAGACGATAAGCAGGGAGCCGAGGGGAAGAGAGAAAAGGCCGCGCTGGCGGAGGAACACCGCGCGGCAGTCTCAGTGCGCACGCGCGCCGCGAGGAACGAGTTCCGGTCTGGCCGAGGCCTGTCCCTAAAAATAGCCCCGGTGTGGGGATCCGTGCGCGGATGTCCCGGCGAGTCCCGGGCTGAAGGAGGCGGCTCCGGGCGGCGCTGCGTGCTGTGGCGGGCCCGGGCGGCGGCGTGTGTGCGCCCGCCAGCTGCGCCGGAGACACGGTGAAGGCCGCGGGCGGCGGGCTCGGGCCTCGGGGCCGGCGGTGCTGGAGGGGGCGGTGTCTCGGCGGGGGGCTGACGAGGGCTGGGGTGGGGGTGCTGGAGCGAGGGGCGGCGCGCGGAAGCGGGGGACCCCGGGATGAGGCCGTGTCGGGCTTGGAAGGGGCCGGGGTCGCGGGCGCGCGGCGGCCGGGCATGTAGGGTGCGGGGTGGCGGCGAGGGGTGGCCAGGTCGGGGTCGGCGGCGAGGGGCGAGGAGCCCGCAGAGGTGGGGGCGGGGGCCGGGGCCTGACGGGCGCCCCGGGGCCACTCGGGGAGGCTCTGTCGCGGGGTGCGTGGCGGGCGGCTTCCCCGGGCCGGCGGGGCGGTGGTGGACGTCGCTTCCTTGAAAGTTGAAGGAGTTCCCTAGGGGCCTCGGAGCTGTGAGGGCTCCTTCCTGTTGCCCTCGGGGGCCGGGGTCTCCCCGGAGGACTGGAGCCCTGGTGCGGGCCGTTCTCCCGGTGGCTGGACTTGCAGAAGTTCCCCACTTCTGCTTTGGGAGAAGGTTGGTCTAACGGGGCGGAACACTGAGGTCTGAAGTCTGCGTGCATGTAATGGGAGTCGGGGTCCGCATTTGGGGCGGCGTCCCGGGCTCGGGGCACCTGCGGGTGTGGACAGCCGGCCACGCCGAGAGCCGTCGCGGCGCCCGGGAGACTGCGGAGGGAACCTCTCTCCCCCTCCGTCCAAGTAGATCTAGCACGCTGGGGAGGTGTTGTGTGATAGAAACTTTGCCTTTTGGTTCGTTGACATCTGTGAACAGCGAGGGTTAAAAATACGTGACGGGGCAAACAAGTTTTGGAAAGGTGAACGTTTCTGCGTTAGGAAAAAAAATTTTTTTTTCTCGTGAAAGTGTAACCATAAAATTTTGCTCAGATCTGGAATGAATTTCCTGAGCTGTGAAGCCAGTCTCCTGTCAGGAAAACCTGTGTGTATTGACTACAACATAGTGTTAACCTTTATTTTAGTTCACAATGAAATTGAGATTTCAATAACTGCTATTACAAAGGCCTTCTGTGATGTGTTAACAGTAGTATGTGTATTTTAAGGCAAATACTACACTGTGTTTTTCAGGTTTTTAGCACAGCATGTTTCCCTTGTGCCTTGTCTCATCCATTACTATGTGAAGATAAGGTTCTTGAAAGCCGTAATTAGGTGTATGTTACACAAGAGTACTTTCCCTTTAAGAATCCAGCTGTGTTGTTTTGGCAACTGCTAAGTACTCCAGTTGTCAGTTTTAAAATCTGTGTTACCTTGGCAGTACTTGAACAGTCTGGAAAAGGTAAACAGAATAGTTGTGTTTTTCTTAACATACAAAAATGACATTTCTTTTAATGTGAATTTAGGAAATGAAGGTAAAAATAACTGTCTTGTGCTATTATGACTTTTGTATGTGCATATTTTGTTTTGTTTTTGTGTTTTGGAGAGCTCTGTCTTCAGTCTTACGTCTTTTCCTGCAAATGGCAACTTTTGTTTTAGGGAAAGAGTCAGTGTTTTCACTAAAGCAGATGCCAAGTTAAAGTTTATAGTAGAAGTAATATTTATACAAATATAATGTATAAGACACGTCTGTGCCATAGACAGAAAGCTTAGTATTTGTTGTATATACTGATGCATTCATTGACCCTAGACTCACCTTTCTCAGTGACCATTGCTGCAAAAGTTGAGAAAATGTTTAGTAAGCTCTTTAGTTGGCTAAAACTAGTGATTTGAGTGTTTGTAGACTCTAGATTAGTAATTCTGTTGGAAGAATGTTTTCAATACTTAAGCAGTCAGTGCTTGTAAGGAAATAGTGTTCACTCTAAAGTTATTTGCTTATCTATTGACGCTATAGTTATATAAATTAAAATCTTTTTCATGTTTGAACAAAGGTGTTAAAAGTAAACTTTCTATGACATGTTTTTGAAAATTAAATTATTGGGGTGTTCAGGGAAAACAAAATAGTTTATTGAGGCTCAGAAAGAATGTCATTAGGTTGAATTGTGACCTGAGAGTAATTATTTTATGTAGAGCTTTTAAAAGTGCTTCCCCAGTGGCTATATGTGACAAAAGAGGGGTTATTTTGTTTTGTTTTGTTTTGGCAAATATAATTGGGAGTAATTTTTCAAAAACATCGTTATTTCAAGTTATGATGCTGTATTTTTCTAGAGAAGATTCCTTACAGCTTTATGTTTTTCATTTAGAATATAGTAGTAGTTATTGTTATTAATATTCAGATAATAACAATGTCATTCATTGTTTCACTACCCAAGGTATTTGAGAGTGGTTAAGTAATTATGGAAATGTTTATTAGAAAATGATTTTGAAGTTTGAGGTAGTCTAATGTCAGTAGATTTTGTGTTCTGATTTAGTCTGCTAAATAATAGGACATAGGACAGAGAACGTAGGCATAAGCAAATATGTTTTTGGACCATAGCATGCTTGTCAGTTTTGGAAAGCCCTTTTTCCCCCCTTTGTTGCTTTTAGTCGGACAAGAGAAATTTATTGTTTCATATAATAGTGATGTGGGGCATTTTGGGGGCATTTTGTTTTGAAATATAGTATTTTATTTTGAAAGATTGTTGAAAGATACACTCATGGTACATAGTAATGTTGCAAAGTCCAGTGTGAGTTTTATCAGTGAAGGGGCATTTAGAAGACTGAGAAAATGATCACTCTTGCTTTTTCTATAAATGTTCTCAGTAAATTGAGAGATGTCTATTTTCTTAATGTTTTAGTAGTAAAGAGAAGTGTACATTCAGAAATTGTATCAGACTTTCAGCTGGATAACTTAGAACAAGCAAATTCTTAACATGTCATGCTGATTTGCAAGCCCTCATAAAGGAAAACTGATTTTGCAATTAGATCTTGATGTAGAAACTAGCGTCACTCCTGACAAAGTACGGAATACCTTCTGTAAAATGGAAATTATACCACTTGCCTCATGGTGTTATTAGAGTTCAAATGAGAAAGTGTGAAAGGTACTAGCTCATTGCCTGAGGTGTAATGTACAGAAATTCGAGTTGCCTGGGGCCCCTTTCTCCTCTTCCTGCTTCCATTGCTTCCTTCCTGTGAAGACCGCGCGTACCACCTTGCCCAGTATGTGTGTGTTTAGTGTTTGTGACCAAAAGAGTTTCAGAATGCTCAGGCATTTATTTGTTGTGGATAAAATAGTCCAATGTCTCAATTCATTGGCCAGTTTGACACAATAGTTGGTTGGCTATTCTGCATTAGATTTTTGATCTCCATAGGTTGCTTCTAACTTCTGTAATCTCCCCTATTTTTTTTTAATTAGAGTTAAATATAAGTGGTTTTCCTGGAATCATTGAATTATGTTTTTTAGGAACGATCTATGAGAGTTATCTTTAAGATAACTATTTAAAATTTAAAAGCTCAAAACATTTACATAACCTACCTGGTGTAAGTATGTAGTGGGTAATTATAATTCCTTTATATTTCATTTAATCTAGTTTGTGAAGCAAAATTATTTTATCCATGTGTCCTTGTTGTATCCTATAATAAAAGGATGTTATGTCCAATTTATTACAATGAACAGTGGTATAAACCCTTTTGTTGATTAGTAGGTCTTGTGCCTAGCATTGGTTATCTTGGCACTTATTTAACAAATACTATATTTCAATAGGTATTTTGTTATTTTTGAATTTTAATTATATTTGCTGAATTAATATTTTACTTAATTGTGTTTAGTAGTTGCTTAAGATGAAATCATAAGCACATAAACTTTTTAAAAATAGCTCATTTGCTAGGTAGAAATCTGTGTTTGAGTATTGGTGTAAGGTGGCAGGCAATTTACTTTATAATTTTATCAGCGGATGATGTGGAAAGCCAGAGGATTTAACATGGGCAAAAACGGTAATTCATCAGATTTTCAGTAAATATCAACCAAGGCACCTCTTTTTAAAAATTTTTACAACTTTTAATTTTAAAGAGAAAAATAAAAATAAAAACCAGTTTCAAAACAGGCTCATAGAATAACAATAATACATTGGGTATTGTTATTGTTATAGTAGTTACTCAGAGTACAAGATACAGGCATGAAATATTGTTTCAATGAATTAAGAGAAACTAGCTGTGTAACTGTCTTAACTATCCTGTGTGTATATATATATATATTTTTTTTTTCTTTTCCTTTCTTCTTTCTTGCATCACAGTTTCTCTTTTTCTTTTGAGCAGTTTCTTCCTAATTCACAGTGCCTATTGTACATTTTGGATCTTGCTTGCTTAGCATCGCATATTTGGTGAGACAGTGTGATATTTACATATGCATGTATGATTTATCTCACTTATGAGTATGGTCTTGAGTTGCATCTATTTACCTATAAAAGTCTCAAATTTATACTTCTTTATGGCTGAGTAGTGCTTAATTTTATTTAAAAAAAGCACATCTGTTTTTA